TCGAGGACTTATGCCCCGGTCGCATATTACAATTTTTCCAGCAACAGCATGGCTGTCCAAAGTTCCTTCTAGGCACAGTGAGCTAGGTGTGGGGCTGCTCGAATTGCTTCCTGGGTAAATTATAGGGTATTGCTTTTGTGTAGACAGAGTTCTTCTGCCTCTATAAAGTGAAGTTCCAGTTAAGATTTCACCTGTCCCGAGCTTGACAATGGCTGGAAAGTCTCTGTCCATTGTGCTAGCTCCAACTGTGGTGATCCATGGTGATACATTGGTAAGGCTAACCGGATCAGGCCCTCCATTTCCAGCTGAGCACGAAATAAAAACTCCCTTCTCCATAGCACCGAATGCTGCTACTGCCAAACTGTCACGGTAATAAGATGCAACTCCTCCTCCCAAAGAGATGGATAGAACATTTACTCCATCAGCCACGGCTTGATCAACTGCAGAAAGAATGTCTGAGCTAAAGCACCCTCCAGTCCAGCAAACTTTATAAGGAACAATCCTCGCACCAGGGGCCATCCCTTGTGCAGTGCCATAAGCATAGCCGAAAAGATTTGCACCGTGAACAGCTGAGCCTGCAACTGTTGCAGCAGTATGAGTGCCGTGGCCATCTTGATCCCTTGGGGACTTGTACTCATCTCGTTCATTGATCTTGCCTGAGGCTGCCTCATAGCCGCGGTAGAACACTCTAGCGCCGATTATCTTTCTGTTGCAATGATGCCTGCCAAAAGCACGGCCTATCTCACAATTTCCTTTCCAGTGACCTGGTACTGGTCCCATTTCTGTGTCATTGAAGCTTGGGCTCTCTGGCCATATCCCGGTGTCTAGCACTCCCACAATGACATCACTTTGTGACAGTCTATCAGACCAGACACTTGTACCATATCTGTTTTCGAGCCCAAGGAACAGGGGACTTCTGGTTGTGTGGAGCTGGTATACAGTCTCAGGAAAAACAGCCATCACACCATGTTTTTCCTGCAGTCTCTCCACTTCCTCCTGGTTGAGCCGAGCAGCAATGCCATGGAAAGCAGTATGGTAAGTGTAAATTATCCTATCTTCATCTCCTGAATCATCTACTTTGCTTGGTTTGGAAGTTACAGATTTTACTATGGATGAGTACCACTGCACATGGTCGACAAATAGTGCTGGTTTTGCCCATTTATCGATTTGCACTATGTATGTTGCTGTGGTGGAAGTTTTGTTGCAAGTGCATGTTAAAAAGCCGAAAGCAAGATAGCTTGATACAAAGAGGAGCAACCGTTTGCCTAAAAATGCAACCATTTTCTCTGGTATTTTTGTTGAAAAGGAAGAAATGGGGTTGAAAGAATGAAGAAGAATGGTGGGGGAAGAAGAGGGAACGGAGAAGTGATCTTGGAAATAAAATATCGAGGGTGAGGGACCTTTGGTTCCGTCTCAGTGTGCAGGTAATTAAGATGGTAGTTGTCTCATGAATGTCGGTATTCTGTAGTAGGAAGTAGGGGGCTTTACTTCTGGCTGGTGATGTGTAGTTATTGGTTATGGTCCTCCCTCTGAAGTCTGAACCAGCCATTTGAGTTGTTCTGCATATGATGGTAGTCTTGCCTTGCGCGATTATACGTATGATGGTAGCAGCGGGAGTTCTCCTCAGAAATTATTTATTTGGTGGAAAATGCACTTTTCATCCACCTCAATAATGTTTGGTAGTGGGCCGATTTTTATCCCCATTGTTTCGGTAAAAGCACATTTAGTCCCTCATCGTTTCCAGATTACTACATCCAATTAAGCGACAAAATCTAGACTAAACCCCAGGCACATTGGTGGAATGGTATCCATGGTTCGAAGTCTTGGCCGAAACCGAGAGGACTCGGCCGAGTCATCACCGTCTCGACCCCTATCGATACGATACCGTGACGAAATGATACCGAAATACTTGGCTCGTCGAGAAATCGGCTGAGTCATCACCGCGACGGGTTGACTCGGCCGAGTCACACCGAATCACTCCGAGTTATCCCGAGTCAAGACGAGAAATCAGCCGAGTCACACCGCGACGGATTGACTTGGCAATTCTTTTGCCATTTTTTAATTATTTTTATTTAGCATACTTTTTTATATTATTAACAATTTTTAAAATATTAAATACTTTAAAATTAGCATCTCACCGAGACCGCGACCGATATGCCGAAACCGATGTGGAACGTTCTAGGCCGCGACCGCGACCGTGACTTTGAACCATGATGGTATCAGAACCGATCAAGCTCTCGCTAGCTCTAACTTTCCCCTGTCCCCTTTTTCCTCAATACGAGCAGAAATTATGACTACATTAGGGGGATTGACATGATGATGATGATGATGTACAGCCTTCAAGGAGTCTGCTAATGCAACCGGGTTTGCTTAATCTCAAGTCTTAGAACAGGGATTTCAGGTTCCATCTTTTCACCAAAAAAAAAAAAAAGAAGAAAGATTTTTATCATTATTATTTTGGTTCCTCTTTACAGCTTTCAACGTAGTACGGAAATACAAATTTTAACGAATCGTGGGTCCAAGTCCAACAATCAACATTATGAAATATCTACCCCCATGAGATGAGATCATAGCATGTGGATAGGGTCCCCCATCGTTGTAGAGGCATCATCATTTCAGAAATTTGAGCACTCCTCGTGTTGTTCATGCAAATTCTGCATATTGCCTTTGCGAGAGAGTGAATTGGACCGTCCTGGAACATAATAATGCATCTCAAAGCCTCCTAGACTGGATCTGGATGGCTAATTGACAACTGGTACAAGATTATAGCAGAGGAGTACCGGGCAGCAATTCCACCAAGGATTGGATCTTCTTCTTCATAATTCGTCTCCATCCGCATATCTAATGAAGCAGCTGGGGCAATCAATTTTCTCCAACAGAAAAGAACTTCCCCCCAGTTAGAGAGCAAATAAAACAAGATTTTTTTAAAATCAATTGCTGTAAATAATTTTGCAATAAACATACAGGAGCCCTTACGTTAGAGTGAATTAGTAGTCGTACAAGGAAATTACAAAACCACCGCTATGCAACAAATTCGACATTAAATGAAGGGGCAGAGTCTCCAAATTCCAAATGATGCAGTAGTGGCCGCAGCAATTATTAACTCAACCGCAGACAATCTGCTTCTTCTTCCCTCTTCATTCATTCCATCTGACGTCGTCCACTTCTTCCCCTGCCTATATCTGAGAAGGCCATTAATGCGTAGCCAGAGTATTCATGATCATGGCTGCAGCATGGACTATCCCCATCGCCCCCTCATAATGCCATCCAACTCTGTTCTCGTTGGGGCTCGTCTTTTATTAGTAATTTAGAGCATAGTTATTAAACCCGGCCCGGGGAGAAACCCGGTGAAGGAGGTGGATCAACGGATTACTGGTTCAACCGGTGAGTAAGTGGTCCAACCGATGGGTCACTACATATATTTAAATATTATGTTTTATAATTTTTATGCCATAATAAATATTCAGTTAGTTTAATTTATTATAGATTCATTAATTTTTATAAGAATTAACAACCTAAATTTAATTAGTAATCCACCAAATTTCAAGTATAAATTTTATCTAAGTATAATTATCTAGTTTATTTATGAATTTTAAGTGCAAAAGTTTATTAAGAATAATATTTACCATTAAAATGATTTGTGTAATATGTTATTTTTAAGTCAATTTCATAATTTATAGAGTTCAGGGAATAATAAAAATGTTATTAAAAGATTTCAAATAAATTTTGTTTTGGAGAAATAAAATAAGAATAAGATTGTAATATATAATATAAGAACAAAGTAACTAATAAATTATTGGTTGGTCCAACGGTAATGGTTGTCTTCTTCTTTGCATGAGGTCGCGCGTTCAATTCTCAATTCCAGCAATGTTTACAAATTTTTTTCGAAGACCGGGTTTTTCATAAAATCGGCCGGTTCAACCGAGTTAATCGGTTCAACCGCCGGTCCGTTGAAAAGTCAACGGATTCAATGCAGAAACGATCTTGTTAAGAACCCGGCTCGGTTTCATGATCGGTTCAACGGGTTGACCGGTTGAACCGCCGGACCGGGCCGAGTTTAATAACTATGATTTAGAGTCTTCGACCCTTTATTCAGTTTTTTTCGCCACTAAAATTGTTCTATGGCAATCACTTGTAAATGCTAACAGCTAAAGCATGCAGGTAATCTGTCGACAACTGTACCTTCTTTTTTCCTTTTTTTTTTTTGTTTAAATCTGCAACAAAATTTTTTTTTTCCTGCATCGATAACATTCTTATAACACAATTTATTTTATTCTACTGAGAGGGGGACGTCTAAGAAGAAGGGCTAGCACCCTAATCTATCATATTCTATTGGAAGGGGAGTATAAGAAAAAATGTATAAGAGACTAACAAGTATACAAATCTGACTAGATCAAAGCGATGTTTTCACACTTCTTTTGAATTTTTTTTTTCATTGCAGGTAGAGTTCGAACCTCCGACTTATAGCTCAAAGAAGGACTTAGACCCTGTTTGATAACTTCATTTAATACTTAAATTTAATGTATTCAGATTTTAATATGTTCAGACATGTTTGATACCAAAAATTAAATATTTGAATTAATGAAGTGGTAGTACTAAATTTTCTAGGCAAAACTTGCTCCAAAAAATAAGTGATAAATCATTCACTTAACACTAAATGTGACATACACTTAAATATATTATATTTAATATTTAGCTATTCAATGACTTAATGAATTTGAATTTCATATTTTAAATTTTAAATTTTAATTTTATCATATGCACCCTCAATCCCCTTACGTCGTCGATGGCCACCGAGCCAAAGCTCGATAATTTTGTCGACAACTGTGCCTGATTCAACCACTTTCGCCTTTAGGACTCCGAAGGAAATGAAGAACGAAGGACGAAGGCAATCAGAAGCCAGGCCCCATTTTAGACGACTAGCAGATGATCACCATGCTAGCGCAGGGTGCTAAATTATAAATATGCCCAAGATGACATAATAATTATCTATATTTTTTAATTTACTTAGCATTTCACTGAGCATTTGATAACACTATGATAAAACAAATCAAAATTTCTCACAAGATGCCATGAGACTGGCTTTGGCATGTTCTATGCTACACTATCATTTGAAGGTCCGTGGTGTAATTTGAAAACAAAAAATCTCCAGCAAGAAGTAGAAGAGAGCTCCAAGAAATGCGTGTCAATACGCCTACCAGACGGATAGGATTTTCGCGACTTTAATGAGGGGACACTTGAAAGCATGGATCACGCCTCAAGCACGTGCAGATTTGGAAAGAGACTATCACGCCTTCTAGGAGGCGCCACCGATAGCGTGGTCTTGGTCTTTCTTTTCCCTTGTACTTGCAAACATTCTTTAGGCAAAGCAATTTCCTTGCGTGCGTATACCGTACGTACATACGAATTCACCCCAGATCTTTCCCTCTCCCTAGATCCATCCCATCCTTTTCTTTTCCTCAAGAATTAATCCAAAGAAGAAAAACCAAACTCCTCCAATTCCTTTCGCTTCATTTCCCTCCCAGTTCTTGAATTCCCAAACGGATAAAATCGTTCTTTTTCCATACCGAAGGACCAAATACCTACTGACTTTTATTTTGTTGAATTCTGACCACCAGTATGACGTTCGTTGGCCGCCGAGATAGGATGGCCTTCAAGGCTGTCAGCCCATGGGCCTATTTCGGCATCGGATGACATGGGCCTGATGCACTCCCAGACCAGACTGCTGCATTTAGGCCCACTTCCCATTCCAAGCTGCCACACCCTGTCACCTTTCTTCACTCTTCCCTTGGCTTCCATATAGGCCAACTCATACCACAATGAAGAAGAAGATTGATTCCCAAACCTGTGCATTGTCATCAAAGCAGGCTCCATATCCCTTTCTCCAAGTTTCAGACCTTTTCCGATCTCTCCGATAACCGGCTTCCCAGAAGTTGGCAAGCAGAAATGTTGTATCACTGTTTTGAAATTAGGCACGTAAATCTCTGTGGCCTTGTCCATAAACTTCTTCCGAAAGACTGAGACTGCATACCAAATTTGTTCCGTATAGGGCAATATTCTTGCACCAAGAATCGAAATGTTCGACCGTAAAGTTTCTCCGGCCACATGCAGTAAATCCCTCCTCAGCGTAACCCCAGTATGTCCTCTGGAGTCCTCTTCGCGGATGGCGGAATAATAACCCTTGTCATCAAAGGCTCTTTGAGTTCTTTGGCTCAAGAGTAGCTTATATTTGGATGCCCTTTTGGCTTCTCTTCTGTTGGTCAACAAGATTGCAGCACCTCCCATGCGGAAGAGGCAATTTAGGACTATCATGGGTCTTTCTTTTCCGGGGTACCACCCGGTTGACAGAATCTCGGTGCTGAGAATAACAGCATTCCAATTCTTGTGAGTTTTGAGAACGCTTTGAGCCATGTCAATAGCTAATGCACTTGCACTGCAGCCCATGCCAGAAACATTGAAGCTCTTAATATCTTCTCTCATGCGATACTTGTTGATAATGATGGATGAGAGAGATGGAGCAGGGCAAAAGCCGCTGCAGTTGACGATTAATACGTCTATATCTCGTGGTGAGAGTCTGGTTTTGGACAAGAGGTCATCGAAGATTGGGAAGAGTGCCATGTGTACTTCTCCAGTGGCATCTTGATGGCTTGATCTGGGTGGGATGTAGTGTAAAGCTGGGGGAAGATAGGTTCGTTCACCCTGTCCTGATTGAATCAAGATTTTAGCCATGAAAGCTCTGCTTTGATGGTCCAAAAAGTCAAACATTTGAGCATGCTCGAGGTAGGTGGAGAAAGGTACCCTGCAGAAACTTGGTGGCTTCAAACATGAGAAATCCACTAGGTATACTGGTGAATGGCTTGAAGGATAAACTTGGGAACTGCAGAACAGAAGGAGACAACAAAGAGCAATGAAGTGGAATAGTGTTCCCCACTCTTGAAAGAGAAACAGCATTTCCGTGCAGGACAAGACGAGAAGAACAACAAATTTCATCAACTCCATTAGTAATTTCAATCCTGATAAGGGAGAGGTGATTAATTAAGCTGCAGGGAGAGAGAAAGAGGTAACGCAGGAATTTTGTGGTTTCAGACTGTAGATATCTATGGAGATGCGATCATATTAGCATAGGAGGGTGCTGCTATATATATACATTTCCATGACTTCACAACGAACGGGTTCCTTCTCTGTGTAAAAGGCGGAGTAAAGCGGATTAAGTGCGTCAGTTAGGACAATGAGAGTTGCGCAGTTGGGAAGCGAAATTCATTGCGAGAACAAGCCGTGAAGATTTTGAAGCCTATGCCGAACTCTGAATTCTGAAGGCACTCAGGAATATTCAAGGAAGATTTGATAATATCAGCCTAGTAGTAGCTATTCTTGAGTTATCAATAATTGCACATTGGAAAAAATTTATATATTTAAAAACGATCTGATCACAAAGGTTTAAGTGGATACCGTCGCATGCATACTTCGGGCTATGGCTAGCGGTGCCGGTGAAGGAAGGTTCTGCAGTGCATGCACCATATTAGTTAAGTATTTCTTGACGGACAGGAGGGCATGGCATGCGCTATCCAGTCAACCAGCAACTGTTGACCATGAATATAGGCAAACAACAACAACAAGTGCTCGGCTGATGTGTGAATCATTCAGCCCTCTTTGGCTACTGATGTCGTATGAATGTTGCGAGGGAGAGACAGAGAGCATTCCCCTATGGATTATTGAATGAATGAAGTCTCGTCCGGTTGCTCCAGCAGCTCCACACACGCTTATCAAAACACGTGCATTAATTTTCCAAAAGTCAAACCGTGGAGAGCGCTGGCACTGTCTTGATTTTTGAAGTACGACCAGCGAAAAAAAATTAAAGTACACAAGCATTAAGTGTTGCAGACTTGCAGTTGGTCAAACGGATTAATTAGGGAGGAATGATGAGTTGGGTAGCAGCGGGGAGGGAATCAAAGATCTAGAACACCTACTTCAAGGAAAAAAAGGAGGGGAATAATTAGTTCTATATGGAAACATTTTATTGTCACACTCACACAGGGTAATATAATACTAGTTGGTTTTGTGACCCTCAATTATGGAATTTGGTTTGTGTCTTGGTAATCCTTGAATCTGAATAGACTCAAAAAGGGTTTCGCGTATCATGTAATAATACCATTGAGGCATTGACAGTCTCCCTACTTAGGTTGTGTTTGTACTCATATCTTTCTAATAAGGATTAAGCGTGAGGGAACTAGCCAGAGTTAACCAACCATATCAATAAGAGTTTGGTTATAATATTTCTATTGTTTTGAAAGAAAATATAAGATAGAAAACTTGAATTAAACATGTGATGTTTGTCCCAAAAAAAAAAAAAAATATATATATATATATATATATATATGTCTTTGGAAGTGGTTAACTCTACCTTTCTAACCCTGTCAAAAAAATGATTAGCCACCATAATTTTTTTGGCCACCCTCCTCTCTAACAGGCATCAAACCCGGCTGTGTTTGGAACCTGAATTAGAGCATCAACAGGTTCCTTGTGGACAAAAGAGTTCATAATTCTCAGATTGCTAGTGGATGGAGAGAAAAGCCGATTAAGGGTTTTTCAGCGGATGATGGGTCTGCCACTTGCTCGGTTTTATGTTACAGGAGAGGCTGTCGGCCAAACCAATCGAAGGGCGCATTAGTATCACTATTTCAACCACTAAACTTCGGCCCAGTGACTATAAAAAAGGGATTAAATCATTATTTGGACGGTAGATCATCGAGAGTTCGAGCTCCCGTTGCAATGAAAAATTTTGAAATGAGACGTCAGAACACCCCTTTAGTTTAGTTTTAGTCCCTTACGCAACCTTATCAATGCTAGAATAGGATAGATTAAATTTACCTGCAAATATTCTTACAAACGTTAGAATAGAATAGATTAAGCTTACCTACAAATATTATTCTGGTTTGTTTTGGTTCCGGGCCTCCTGGCTGCTCAAAACATAACGGGTTTCCAAACGGCCGAGAATCTATTTATGTTTGCCTTTGGGGCATTTTTTTGGACGCCGAGCCCGTTAGACTGGGAGTGGTGAGCATCTGCAAGGCTGGGCCACTTGCTATGCCCTTAAAGATAAAGATGTGTCCTTATTCTGCTGTCCTCGTACGTACGCCCTTTTTTCTTTGGTCAAGATACTTTGCCCTTACTTGCTGTATGTTGTTGTATCAGCTTCATCCTTAAAAGAGTTTTGCAAGTAGCGTTCCCATTAACCTCTTTCAAGTGAAGCTCAAATTATTTAATGTCCAATTAATTAATGAATGGTGCCCAAATTTCTAAAATTACTTGCAGGGTATCTTTCCAGATCACGATTATTAATCTCTTTTTTTTATAATTGCACGTGTTCTCAATCTACTGGCAAACGGCTTTGTTATATCTTGAAATCGTGTTAACAGCTTTTCTCTATTTGGCATTAATTATTATATTTAATGCCAAATATAGGCAGATAATAATTATTTGGTGCTTGCTCTAATTTCATCATGCCAAATATCTTTCTTTCTTTTGGCTGGTCGTGCCAAGTCGTTGTCTCCTTTGTGAATATAAATGAAAAACAATTATTAAGATTCATCGAGTCTATAAGGATGCATGTTAATTTTATCATTTTCTTGGTTCCAACTTAATTACGTAGCCATATTTTCCTCCTGGTCTCTATTTGTGTAAAAATTCTACTACTATTTCTTGTGCCCAACTATACACATATACATATTATATATATATATATATATATATATATATATATAATATATATATTTTTTTTTTTATGTAACAATTTTCATTCCATAGACTTCGATATATAGCTAATCTGTTTCTTGCCAATATACATACATATATATATATATATATAGTGTGTGTGTGTGTGTGTGTGTCGCATAATCTGGAAAAGTGATTCGTTCTCACGTCTCGCACCCTAATTACTACTAATTAATTACGCGCTGTATGTATATTTTGATGATCAAGTTCATCACGTAACTTTCACTTGACACTGTGATTTTATGTTGCTTAAGCTACCAACAGCCGACGCAATGTAGCAGATGATACACTACTGACATTTGATTTACCCCATTATGAATAGCATGATGACTACTACTCAAATGGGCAGCAAACCCCAGAAGAAGAAGAAGAAGAAGATATCCCGATGACAAGCTTCAAGACAAATCTCCCTGTTCCTTAGTTCCCCAAAAGAAAAAAAACAAACAAACAAACAAACAAAAAAAAAAAGAAAAAGAGAGAGGCAAATTAAATCTCCTCTGTGTCAAACGAAGAAATTGGCCAGACAAGTACGACACGACCGGCCATAACCTAGTCGAGCGAGTACGTACATACTCAGATCAGGGACAAACCGTCTATGATTGAGATAAGGTAAACCCCGTGAAAACAATCATTGCAATTTGTACCTCCAAAATTAAACAGGCAGAAGCACACAAACAATCCCATCTCTACGTACATTAGCTTTCCTTCCAACCCTTTATTATTAAGTTTTTTTTTCTTTTTTTTGGGGGAGAGAAAAGAACCTCAAAGAATCTCTTCCTTCTCTTTACCAGTAATTACTAGTCCCCACCCCACCACTACAAAAAGATAAGGTGCGAACCGATTAAGAGATCACTCAGAAGCGCATTATTATGGCTAACCCTTTAAACTACGACCACTACTGCTTCTCTTGCACAGTCTTATCACTGCTCATTTCGCTGCATGCGGCGGCTACCATTGCGAGCCAAGTGCAGGCGAATAGCGCAACAACTCCACCTTTCCCATCCTTCCGCTGCCTTTCCTATTCTCAGCTGAAATGGCAGCAGAGAGAGATCATCATGTTTTTCCACTTTGGAGTCAACACATTCACGGACTCCGAGTGGGGCACCGGGCGAGAAAACCCGGCCATCTTCAATCCAACAGTCCTAGACGCCGCCCAGTGGGTTGATACGGCCGTCCAAGCTGGCGTTTCTCTGGTCATACTTACTGCTAAACATCACGATGGCTTTTGCTTATGGCCCTCTAAGTACACCGATCATTCCGTCATCAGCAGCCCTTGGCGAAATGGCAAGGGGGACGTCGTTCAGGAGCTCGTCAATGCAGCCAGCCCTCGCGGGGTGGACGTCGGATTGTACCTTTCTCCGTGGGATCGTCATGATCCAAGATACGGCAAGAATAAGGAGTACAACGAATACTACCTGGCTCAGCTACAAGAATTACTACGCAAGTGAGTCGATACGCTCGCTTTTTCATCAGGACTGTTTCGGTTTGATTTTTATGGGTTTATTTGTTTGATTATTAATTATTATTATTGTTGTTGTGACTGAGCGATCGATGACAGATACGGAAGTGTGAAGGAAATATGGTTTGACGGAGCCAAGGGTTCCAATGCAACAAACATGACGTATGATTTCGGTGACTGGTTTTCATTGGTGAGGGAACTGCAGAGCTCCATCAACATATTCTCGGATGCTGGTCCGGACGTCAGGTGGGTCGGAAATGAGCAAGGGTTCGCCGGAAGCACATGCTGGTCCACCATTAATCGAACCGCCTTATCAATTGGCAACGCTAGCATCGTCGGGTAAGTATATAAACTCTTACACGATATATAGTAGTTCCATCTATCGATCTCCCTTTCATTAAAAAAAAAAAGAAAAAAAAAAAAGGAAAAAAGGAAGCTAATCTACAAGCTGATTTAGAATCTTTAGAATGAAAGAGGCAGACCATCCATCATCTTTAACTTTGTTTCCAGCCAAATATTTACTGATTTTGTCAATAATCAATAACACTTGGAATTTAGTGCGAGACAATCATGAAAGCATGCACAGAATCTCCTTGTCTCTTCTCTATTAATTCTAGATGGTGAGTTAATTATTTATTGACAAGGTAAACATATGTCGAGTATCTTGACCTTTACATTACGATTGAAAAAAAAATTCTCGCTCAGATTAATATTATTATTTGTAGGTGTTATTATTACTAATATCATGATATTATTTGTATAAAACCAAAACATTTCTGTTGATACCACCAACAGAAATGAATAGTAATATTTCTAGCTTGCAGTCAAAACATCATGGATTTTAACCCATAACATTAAGTTTTTTTTTTTTTTAAAAAAAAAAAACCCCATAATATGACATTGATTAACGGCATTATTTTTCTTATCCTGCACAATCAATAATCCAGTCTTAGCCATTAATCACTACTGTTATACAATCAGTAAACATCAGAAGAATTGACATTGACAAGTGCAAACACGGCACTAGAAAATAAGAAGACAAGAAGAAGCCGGGAGTGGGGAGTAACATTTACGATAAAAGTAACGTAAGATCCACAAAACAAAAAAGAGTTTTTTTTTTTCCAAATCGAATCGAATAATGCTTATTATTTTTCGATGATAAAATGGTGCAGTTATCTCAACACCGGCGATCCCAAAGGCACCGACTGGCTACCCCCGAATGCGACGTCTCAATTCGAACCGGGTGGTTTTGGCATAAATCCCAATCCCCCAAGCCACTCCACCAACTCCTTCAAATTTACTACAACTCCGTCGGAAGAAATTGCGTCTTACTCCTTAACGTGCCCCTAATCCCACAGGCCTCATTTCCGAAAGCGACATCCTGAGGCTCAGAGAATTTAGAAAAGCAATTGACACCGTATTCTCCTCCAATCTGGCTGAAAATTGTTCCGCTACGGCCAGCAGCCAACGCGGAGGTAAAGACGGCGGTTTTGGCCCAGAAAACGTCGTGGATGGGGACCACCTGTGGACGTACTGGGCCCCCAGTGACGACGACGACGACGACAAAGAACATCACTGGATAGAATTCAGAGCCTCCGACGGACCGCTGAGATTCAATGTGGTTAGGATTCAGGAAGCGATCGGGTTGGGGCAGAGGATCCGACAGCACGAAGTGTACGCGGATGGGAAGAGGATTGCCAGCGGAACGACGGTGGGCCACAAGAGGCTGCACAGGCTGGAAAAGGGTGCGGTGCACGCTCTCAGCGTAAAGATAAAAATCACGGGATCACGGGCAACACCCTTGCTATCCTCTGTGGGTCTGCATTTCGATCCCTTTTGGCACCCAAATCCAAATGGCCAGCCTCCATCCAAATTCGTCCGTTAGTAAGAAAAAGATAGATCGTCTGTGCGAAGAGGCCGCCGAAACCTCTGTTTTACCTGCGGGCGGACCTTACGATGGATGGGTGGATGCATCCATTGCTGTGGTAAGAGCAGCGTATCTCTGTGTACCGGGCCTTTTGGCCTCCATCCAAATAATTATTAGCATATATACGAGGGGTTCCGTTCTATGATGAATTATGACGGAAGGGGCTAACAATTGCTTTCGACACACACCCATAATCATAGTTACAAGGACTAAAGCAAAACATTCTCTCCAACCGCAAAACAATCCCGTGGGAATCCAGGAGCCTGTCATCCAGGCTTTGTACTCTCCAACCGCAAAATTTGAGACAAACAGATTCATGCATGCTGTTATCGAATGTATTATACAAGTTCTTACAACAACATTGACGGCGCCCTTGCCATCAAAAATCCAAACACATTCCTCAACCCGTTGTTGAACTAGAGGGGTCAAAGTATTACACAGTAAATCACAAAGCGGCTTTGTGTTGAAATTGAAACCTGTGCATATAAAGCTTTTGTAGGCACTCACCAGTCTCCATTCACCAATAACTGTACGCTCGTGAGCCGCTGCAGCTTACCATACTTGTATTGTACCCCCCAAACTGCACCTACTGCTGCCTGCCACCATTCGCACAACCGATTGATGACACGGACTTGGACAAATTTCATGCTGATGAGCAAGAATTTTTCACTGGCGGCTTCTTCAACATCTTGTCGTCCACTTTTTAGCTGAATTCTTCGTTCCTATGTGCATAACCATTTGGCATATACTCACAACAGGGAAATAAAAAAATAAAAAAAAAAAGGGAGAATGATTGTGGAGATCTCACCAAACTAAATAAATAAATTAGAGCAACACGTCACGCCCATTTCACTGATATTCTGGTTCTCTCATAGTTGACAAAAAGGCTACTACCTTTGGCAATTCTGTGAATTTTACTGGGGCTTTCTTTGTTCAATTCTGCCATGAAGCATGTCCTCCTCATTTAGGAGTCATTACTATTAACAAAGATACGTCACTCGGACACCTTTTCCTCTTCTGAACATTTTTCTGTTTCTGTGAGTAAATTGGAAGAAGTACAAAATTCACCCAAGGATTTCGAATATGAAGGGAAATAGGAAAAAAAAAACATAAAGATAATCAATAAACAGTTCTTGATGATTCTCAAAGTTTTCATCGGTAAAGTGGGAGATGCCAAGCAATCAAGTTACCCACAGCTGACAATGTGAAACTGCAACACGTAAATGTCTTGGCCCTTATAGAAAACCCTCGATACCTCGTCCTGCTTGTACTTCTCTATATATGAGCAAGGCTTCTTCCATAACTTTTGCTTGAGCCAATAACTGAGCTCTCTTTTTTCCTGACGGGTGAGTAGAAAGATAATCCGTAGTGCTGATTCACCCGTTACCTTACCCAGCTTCTCAAACACCCTGGGAGCCACTCGAGGATCATACCCTGCAGAAGCCATTAAAAGTAGCCCAATGTAATCTGCTTCCATCTCCATCCTACAAGGGAACGTAAATGTAAGTGACAATAAGTTGTACAAGGTTATCAAAGGCAAGAAATGAAAATACAAACCTGGCAGATTCATCAGCAAGTAATGCCTAGCCAATTAAAATTCAAGCACAAGTTTGCATTATTTTGGTCACCAGTGGTGCAGCAATACTTCAGACTTCAGAGAGTAACCAAGACACAGACTGAATGCAGTTGTTAACAAGTTTCTCCAGAGCTTTCAATATCTATAAGAATGAAGACACAATTGTTCTTCTTTCCTAGTGGTCCCAAGAAGTTTGAGCCATAAAACATATTCAAGTTAAGTTAGATACGGTCAAAATCTCTCAATCACCTTTATCTGGTTCAAGAATCTCAAAGATTAAAGTACTTCTCTCCCATGCTATATACCCGCCTCTCCCTCTCTGTTTGTTGCACTTGAACGCCATAAATATATAGAACATAACTCCATGCCTCCCAGTGCTTTTCCACTCTTCTCTTATACTTCTATGTGCCACACTTCGTTTTTCAGTATACAAGAAGGTTAGTCTTGTCTCTTTTGTTTTACAATTTTATTAGAAATTGTTTGTGAATGAAGTCACATGCAGCAAGACTAACTTAAGGTAGTATCGCTCAACAACTGTGATAGATGAGGTACTCAATGAGGATCTAGATTAAGATGCACTACACAATGTCCTGTATTACTAAATAGTTTCCTGAACTTGTATCCTGCCAAATGAACTGATTACTGACAGGTTAATTCTGAAAATAGCTTGTTACCCATCTTCTAAAACAACTTCTTACAAGAATATAGTCATATACAGATTATAACACAGTACTTAAAAGGGAAAAATGGGCATAGCTGAACTGACAGCTGGCACCACAAGGCTCCCTCTATCAAACAATTCTAAGCATGTATAGGCAGGGAGAGTGAGAAAATACCCTGTTTCTTACTTTCCAAACATTTAGCATTGAGTATGAGCTAGTGGAAAGAAAGTACAGTTTCAACATTTCTCCACAAACCTACCACATAGACCAATATAACTCTTAATATTTGGTATGGCAGTCCAAAAGTAATCAATCCACAGAAATGGTTCTCATATATATCAGACAGCATTCCTAACAAAAACTGGAAAAGCACATGAAAATCCTATGTTATTCCCAGGTACATAAATAGAGATAATAAGACGTGTGAGAGAAAGGAAAAAGCAAAGAGCACAGCAATAAGAATAGCAACCAAAGCATCACATTAACTGAAGCCAAAGATTTCACAGACAACACTATCCAATCATACACAGCAGGTGCATTCAAGAATACAACATGTTGCATTTTCCAATGCATTGAATGCTCAATAATTTGCAGAAAACTTGTAGCCAATTCACCACAACTGTATGGGATTGATAGTCAAGATTTTCAGAACCAAAAACTGAAATAGTCAGCAATTTTAGGTCTCTCACGGGAAAAAGTCTTGCATATGAGCATAACTACCGACTTGCTATGTTAAAAAACAAGGCAAAATCTCCATGTGTTCTAGTTGATGGCTGTAAAGTCACCTAGTTGTAATTCTGCATTAGCTAAACCATTCCCGAAAGTATATTCACCAGCAATTCCTATCACAACTAATGCCCTTATTATTAGTTCATTCCCTTGTAAAACCAAAAAAGAGAACTCAGAATTGCAGTTTTATCGGCTTGTCTCTAACAAGGTTTCAGTTGCAAGCCTAAGACATTTACATCTCAAAAGCATGGCACCTTTCAGAATCCATAATGCACATAAGGATAGTATGTAAACAAGCAATCAAACATATAGCTCAGTTGCACGCCTAACAAGGTTTCAGTTGCAAGCCTAAGACATTTACATCTCAAAAGCATGGCACCTTTCAGTATCCATAATGCACGTAAAGATAGTAGGTAAACAAGCAATCAAACATATAGCTCAAAAGGTCACCATCTGCAAAATCAAATTTTTAGCCACATATGTTGGCATCACTGATAGGGATCTCTTGAATCTTAGGACAATGCAAAAAGTTATAGAGATATGACATGATGTGAGAACCCAATGTCCTTAGCACAACAATAACGATGTTAGCAAATCAAACTTTGAAGCTCTTATATTAAAGAAAAGCTGCCATACAAATCGTACACATTAAACATTTACCTCCTTGAGAAAGGAAGCCGTAGGAAAAGATTAGACATTGTATTGACAACATCAGGCATGACAAATTGATATAAAATCAATTGCACAATCGCAAACCACAGGTTTTTAGTAATTCCTTCAGCAGCATGTCTAGCCACAGCATGAGCAACCTATCAAGCAAAAGGTTTCAGCTAATTCAGAACAACTTGATTAAATGTGCAAAGAGAAACAAAATTACAATTCATTAAATAAGCCAAAAATACAAAATAATACTAATTGATTAAATGTGCGAAAAGCACGAAATTACACCTCATGTCCAAGTATAGTTGCAATCTCAGCATCAGTTCTAAAATGCTCAAGCAACCCCGTGAAAACTACAATCTTACCACCAGGCAAACAAAATGCATTCACAACAGGTTCATTAACCACCAAAACCTCCCAATTTAAACCCTCCAAATGTCCAGTTGCAGGTGACTTCCCCTTCTCTTGACCGCTCTTCCGGCTTTGTTGGACCCACTTATCATCAAGGATCTCATCCTCCCTGTTCCATTTCCCTTCAGTGGTAGACATATTATCACTCAATGCCATCAAGGTCTCATGTCCACTGTTCTCATCTGGCTCATATGCATGGTCAGATGCATAGCCAGGATCAGTCCACATGTGCTCCTTGCTCAGCCCTCGTTGCAGAGCCTCGATGAGGTCTTTTGCAATCAACCTCACTCTAACACTCTCCGGGTGGATGGGTGGCAGAATTTTCCCCTTGAACGCCTTTTTCATGTCCTGGAACTGATGCTCCCCAAGCGCTGTCTCTCAAGACCTTTGGACAAAAGCACAAAATGGGTTCTTTTGGTATAAGGAACAGTTTCCAAGTTACCAAAATAAACAGTAATCACCACCCCTGAACCCACCAAAATCACAATGAACACATTTCTTGGATTCTGAAACCATTTTTTGTACCCTCGGGGCCGAAAGTGATAAATTTGGTGCCGATCAACATAGTAATATCTTCTTGCCCCACCTAAAGAAGGGCGGCACTGATTTTGCTTGAGCCCCAATTGAAAACCTGAGTTTCTGAAAATCGGTGCACAAAGGCCAAATCCGTTAGCCCTGGATGTATTACGGGTGGAAGTATAAGAAGCATACTGTGGCTGGTAGGGCTTTGGAAGGGAGTTTGTGATCGGGCTTTTGGGCACAATCTTAGTAGTGAAGGTCTTAAAGGCATCAACAACTAATTTAGATCTTCTGTACCATGCCATGGTGTCGCAAATTGCAATAAATGGGCATTAATCAGGTCCCAAAATCATCTTTTGAGGGTTTTGTTGAGAAACAAATTGAGAAACTCGGATGTGAAGAGGGGAAGAACAGAGAGAGAGGAATTGGAAGGTCAAAAATGGGAACTTGAGGGAAGGGGTTTAAAATTTAATATTTGTGATGTTTTGGGACGTGAAATGACTCTGGAGAATGATGCATCGAGGAGGAAATTAGGGGGACGAGTGTGGAACTGTGTATCGACCAGTTTCGATGTCGTCCCACGTCCGCAGGAGAAGCAACTAGTATAAACCAGCGGGGAAAAGAAACGAAGAAAGAAACTCTTCTTGCTAGTGCCCGGCAGCCGTAATATCCTACGTGCCTTTTTTTTTTTTCAAAAAAAAATTATGGTCATTGTAATGTAAAGAAACTCTTTTAGAGCGGTGTTATAAATTTATAAATAATCAACCATTCTCGATAACTCCAGTCCGTGCAAATTCAAGGAAAGGAGTAGTGCGTCTCCTCAATCCTCATTCGATCCTAGCACAGAAGTACCCATCTGAGTTTTTTCTGCAACAGCACAAGTTTAGAGTAAGAATTTGCAGTAACTGGCTTGTTAGAAGAATTCGCTCATATCAGTTTTCTCAGAACTTTTTTATTTTTCTTTATTATCCGAAACTGTTTGAAAGAAATTAAATCAGTAGGCGACAATTTCTTGTGCATTTTAGCTGGATAGGCCTTGCCAAGTTCTTCCTCCCGCGAGTACTACTGCGCCATTTATCAATGATAAGTTTTCAGTGTATCATACATGACTACATAGCACTAGCGTCCGTTTCAGCGAGCGGGCACACAAAAAAAAGAGGAGCAGGAGGAAAAATTATCCAGCGCGTCCGACGTTGTTCGGCGAAAATAAAATATATCTCCCAAACATCTAAGATGATTCGATAATTAATTGAAGATACACTGAGCTCTATCGCAGATTGAAGATACAAATCTCCCAGTTTCTGCAAAATGAAGGACCTAAGATGGGGAACCCAGCAAAACCCCCAAAACTCTCTATTGTAGAATTATAATCTGGGGAAAAAATGGGACATACATAGAAACCGAAACATACAGGCACCAGATATGGGATGCACCTACTAAAAAATTGTCAATTGAATTGCTTAATTAAGAAAAACAGAATAACTCATAAAAACCACCACAAAATTTCAAGCTGCCATTTCGGCAAGAAAGCTTCACCATTTACGGTTGTTATTTCTGAAACCTCCCCCACCGCTTGGACTTTTGGAGAACTGACCATTCCTCCTATCAGATGAACCGCCTCTTCCCCCTCTTCCCCAGAGAACCGATTACCACCCCCCCTCCTATCAGAAAAGCCACCACGACCACCACTTCCAAATCTTCCACCTCTTACCTGGTCTCTATCTTGCAACCGTGGCAATAACTTCACAACATCCAAGCTAACCCCACCAGCACCTTCCTGGCCTGCACCACAAGTGGAGGAAAAAAATTTTTTGAGTACAAAAACTAAATCAAGAAATACAAGTATTTCCATTTTAGGAAGGCAATAGTTGCAATTTCAGTGACCCTCTGCCTTTCATAGGTGTCAGAAATTTCATCTTATTAATTGAAAGATGAATCTTTGTCATGAATAATATTGCAAATCACCTCTAATATTTACCAAGACCACATTATTTCTATATCAAGGGGTAAAGAATGAAATGTACCCTTGACAAAAAAGTCCAGATCTTCAGCAGCCACATCAAACACGGCCCCTTTTCCATCAGCCGTTAAAGCAAGACCCTTAATTGACTCGACCTTTTCTTCAGGTAAGAACCTTCGCAGCACACTGTAAGCAAAGCTGCCACAAGTAGACATCAAAAGGATTATTAAGGCAGAGAATGACACACATAAAAAAGCACAAACAATTGCTCAACCAACTCCACTCTATACCATGCCTACATGCAGAACACTAGGATGCAGTTTCTAAGTTTTGGACCATAGTCCAATACCTTTTTTGTTTTTGAGGCAAAGCGAAAGCAAAAGTAACACAGTATTAGCTAAAATTCAAGACTCATCCCATGTTAGCATGCATTACAATCGGCATAAGAAACTTTTATCTACAAAGAACAAGTTTCAATCTCCAACTTAAGAATCAAATCACTGCACATTATGTTGGCCAATTTAAAAATGGTACGCTCACAATCCAAAAACAAGTCAGCCAAAACCATCAAGCCCAAAATTGTTATCTGTATTATGTGGGAAAATGCAAAGTGTTTGTTTTCATATTCATTCCGAATTTGCTTTCTGGCAATAAGGGAAACTGAAAGAATAATAATCTCAAGGGGTTTTACATGCCAACAAAAAACCAAGTCAGTCGAGCACAAGCAGCGGCACTATCAAGATTAAATCTAAAAGGATTCTAGTGCTTACGAGGGCGTGTAGATGGGCCTTCCACACTCCAGTAGTAACGTGACATGGTTTTCCATGGAAGTAAGGATTGAACGACTCTTGATCTCTGAATAACCCTGCCCATCATGTAAAACTGAATTCATCAGCTGCTGCACTATAAGAAATTGACGATATGTACATAATATAATACAGAGAGAGAGAGAAACCTACAGCAGCCTTGGCAAGAGCTTTTGCAAGAAGTTCTACTGGGGATAAATTAGAGTTGTTCAGTAGCTCCTCTGCAGCAGCCTTAAATGCCGGAATGACGCTGCAATTTTACATTATATGCAAAAGTATAAGCTGCAGTAAAGTACTTTAAAACAAACTTGAATGAGTAGTATATGAACCTGTCAGAGATTTGGGAAATTTTTTCTGCAGCTTCTGCACCAGCTGCTTCAGCAATATCAGCTGGCTGTGGAGCAGATACATGTTCAAACTTCACACCACATTCTCTTTCTATCTTAGAAATGTTTGATCTCCTAGGATCATAAAGCATTACAGCAACACCAGTGTTCCCTGAAGAAAGAGGCAAGACGATCAATAGGCATTCAACATTTCAAACATCCAAAGTCACTGATATCCAAGGATCCACAACTCACCCGCTCTGCCTGTACGTCCAGAACGATGGATATATGCTTCTACATCTCGTGGGGGCTCACACTGCAAAATTAAACATCACTGCATACAATAAGTAAACAAGGTTTTACAATCAAGAAATGCGAGATATTTGGAATAGTAAAGACAAACCTGGATTATCAACTGGACATTGTCAATGTCCAATCCACGTGCTGCCACATTTGTGGCCACTAATGTGGTGAACTTCCCGGATCTGAAGCCACTGAGTGTAACCTGAATGCAAGGTGGTTTTCATCAGTCAAAAGCTGAAGACATCAACCTAAAAATCTAAACTTAGATTCAACCAATAGGAATATACGAGATTGTCCAAACATATGGTACAATATCTTATACTTGACACTAGAAAGTCAGCAGAAAGATAACAGTGAATTTTGTGTGCCAAAATGACTTGTAACTCAGCATCATTTCCTATTGGCAAGAGTTGTGGCTCCTTAATTTACTGCTTTTCCTCCACCCAATTACAGTTTAATATAGAAGTATTCCCATAATCGGGAACTGGACTGAGAAATAAGGGGGCCAGAAAAAATAATCAACAGTATTGGAAACCTTTAATTTCATTTAGTTCCCAAAAGCGCACACTTTACCTCTCGCTGGGACTGCTGTATGTCACCATGCAAAGCACGTGCTCCTGGCAATAAGCCAGCAAGTTCAGAAGCTGAATCCTTTGTCTCAGTGAAAATAATAGTTTGACCTCCTCTGAATCAACAAAATCGTATGGTAATACATCAGGATGCACTTCATTAACTTCATGAACAGGCAAAACTTTTAGCAAAAGAATATTGACCAGAAAAAACCTGCTATAGCAATGAATAATGTCAGGAATAAGTTGGGCTCTTGCTGAAGTAGAGCAAGGCAGGACAATATGCCTGACACTTGCACTAGCCTTCATTTTCTCATTGCCAATTAGGTCTGCAGTTTTCTTATCAGGTTTCAGGAACTTGGCTGCAATCTGAACATGCAAATCAAATGTCAGCCTTGTAGGAGTGTAGGAGAAGTACAAAGGTAGGTTGCAAAACAGCATCTAGCAACAGAGAGCAGAACTTCTCTAATCCAGAAAAAAAGCTAAAAATGATTTCCCGTTTTAAACTCTGATCTCAGTATGAAGATAGTGATACTCAGCAATAGAAAAGGACATACTTGCTTCACCCAATCAGGTAACGTGGCACTAAAAAGGAGTGTTTGAACTTCGCTTGCACTTTCAACCTTGCCTTTGGGTTCAAAAGCAAATTGTCATTGACAGTAGTAAAAAACAAAATACCAGCAAACTTAACAACTTCCAAGCATCTAAAAGAGAACTATTAAAATAATTTACATACCTAGAATAAACTCAACATCGTCAACAAAACCCATCTTCAGCATTTCATCAGCTTCATCAAGAACACGGAACCTCAATGAGCTGAAGTTGATATTCTCCCTCTCTATGTGATCCTGTAGCGTTCCAAAGGCAAACAATCACTCGTCAGAACAACTCAAATTTCCGCAAACCTAGAAAAGATGATGTAGCAATAAAGCATGGTACCTTAACACGGCCAGTAGTGCCTATTACTATGTCAACCCCTCTTTTTAGTTGAATCTCTTGCTGTCTGTAAGGGGATTGCCGTATATACAACAAGATGTCAGACCCAATGCTCCTCCATACAGTTCAAAGTCAGTAAACACCTAACAAATGGGAGTAAAAGAGGAGGAAACAAGATAAGGCAACAGAATTTGGTGGAGGTGACCAAAATCCACAAAGGTTTTATAAGGAGAGTTCCCAGGATCATACCTGGCAGGCCAATTCCCTAGTGGGTAAAAGTACAAGAACACTAGGTGCCCTCCCGTATCCAGTCTTTCGTGCTGCTTTTGCAGGCCATTTGTCAAGGACTCCAGTATAGGCAGCACAAAGGCCAACGTTTTACCCTATATTTAAAAACAAAAATTTCATCAGCCTAAATTAACAAATTTATCCAGAATAATTTCAAGAAAAACGAAGCTAGGAACAGTCCAAGACCCCACTTTTATTTTACCCATGCTATTCGGAAACATTCTCTCCAAGCTCATACAAGATTCTTGTGCAAATATTTATAATTAGTACTCAAAAAGGAATACTGCAGAATTACAAAGGGAATATACCTGACCAGTGCGAGCTCGACCGACCAAATCAGACCCATCCAAAATGGTATCAAAAGTCATGGCCTGAATCGGAAACAAATATTCAATTCCCTTTACTTTCAATGCCTCTCTCAACCTCTCCGATATCCTAAACTTCGTTAAAGCATTCGGATGCTCCTCTTTCACACTCTTCTCCTCATCATCTTCGTCTACCTCCGTTAACTTAGCCTTTTTCTTCATCAAATTCATCGGCTCCCCCAACTCCGAGCTCGTATCACTCCTCTCCTCTTCATTGACATTGTCACCGTCAATCTCCGCCGCCTTTCGCTTCTTCTCCTTCTTCTTCTTCTTCTTCAGTTCTTCGGAATCAGAGTCCGAATTACTGATCTTGGTCTTTTTTGACTTCTTCTCTTTCTTAAATTTTTGCTCCATGGAAGAGTCCAATTCAGGGGATTTTTGAGCCTCGGCTTCGGCGTTTTTCACTTTCTTCTTTTTCCTGTCTTTGGAAGTCTCTATGAACAGTTTCCAGAAACGGCTAATGAAGGCATGACGTTACCTTAAGGCTTAAAGTATGGAAGTCTGTGTATCGGTAGGTGAGTTAGTGCGTGTTTTCTTGTTCTCCTGCTATCGAAGGTGAATTGCACTGGAACTGCAATTGCAGGAGAGCAGAAACACAAAAAAGAGGGAAGAAAACGTTCTAGGGTTTGAGAATATATAGGCTGCGGCGGTGAGGCATCGGGACCGTTGGATTGTGGCTTTTTTTCCAGCTTCATTCTACTGCTTAATTGCCGTTAGATCGCAACGCTAATTAGTTGCCAGCGTGTATTTGTAGTAATTCTCCGGATCAAGAACGAAAACAAACAGAAATTAAAAAGGGTCAAAGCTTAATACCCGCAGCTGGTACTTGGGCCTTTGCGTAAGAATTTCGATGCCCATAATTAAAAAAGCCCAAGTAGGCCTGGCGTTGCAACAGCCTACACATCATTACTTGCTGGGCCATAATCAGATTTGGTCCAATTTGAAGCACATAGGGCAAAAAAAATTAAAAAAAAAGAAATAAAAAGGGGTGGTTTGGTAATGTTTATGTTGGTCAAATTCTACTAACAAAATCCTAAAAGCAAGCATTTGCTAGAATTGTTCATGTTTTTATAACATAATATAATAATAGAAACTTTTTAAAAAGAGGGGAAAATTATTGCATTTAATTTTGTTACGAGAATGCATCTTCTACGGCTTTTGAAAAGCTAAACATGCATATTTATTCCCAAAGTTCTTGAAACTCTCGTGCTCTAGGGTGCGTTTGATAAAACTGAAGTTTGAATTATTAAGTATATTAAATGTAATACATTTGAGTGCATATCACATTCAGTAATAAGTGAATAGTTTATCACTTAATTTTAAAAGTAAGTTTTACTTAAAAATTTAGTACATTTAATTACTTCAAATATTTAATTTTTCGTTATCAAACAACCTGGCTGAATTCATTAAATTTAAATATTAAAATGAATTATCAAACAGGATCTAAATTGGGACTTCTCGACTACAGCCTAGGTTCACTTCATACATGCCATATCGATAATTAATATGAGAAAACGATTTGTCAAAACACTACTGGATTAATTATGCGAAGTAAAAGCTACACACCTACGGAGTTGAGTGTAAAAGAAAAATTAACTTGCCATGCCAGGCGTCCTTGTCGTTCACGTTCTAGGCATTAATACGTGAAAGTCTACACTCTACATGTGCATTTAAAATTGCCTCCCTCGGCCTCTCGCATAAACTGTTGTGTTCCTCCCGCCCATTGCCTTTCCCTCCGTGAGGTCCACAAGGAAAGGCACCACAATGTTCAGTGAAAGACTCATGGCCTTGTACTATTTTTTTTTTTTTTTTTTTAGCTCATTAGATTTTCTACGTATTCACAATCAAAAAAAATTTTTTTTTAAAGAAAAAGTTAGTTTTGATAGAAATACCAATATGCATAATTTTTTTTTCTGCTAGTTACACAAACATCAAGAGGGCCTCACCAAACTAGCTAGTTTAGAATAATTGTCGGCCAAATTCTTTCAAGCAATGTACAACATTAGTAACAAGTTATGAATCACTACAATCAGTGAATTTGTGACAAGGTGTAAAAAGCATATGTGAAAATTGAAATGGAGATGAGATGTAGATGCGCAGCGTTTCGTTTTTTTTTTTTTGGATATCATGGCCATCCATCCAAATCTGCGGAATGGAAACTTGGCAGACGTCCTCAATGAAAGTAAACACTCTAAACAAGTGATGGAACAGATGCTTAATCCTTCATTCTAAACAAGCGGTTGAATTAGGACCACAGTCAAAAAGATCTAACTTCCGGATCTTCCATCGTTGTCAACCTTCTTAATTAACTTCCTCGTATGTGAACATAATACGCCCAATCCACATACACAATCACAGCTATTTTCTGGTCTTTACCTCTTTAATTAGGTGGCGGAATACAGAGTTAGTTCTTCTTTGCTCATAAAAACAATTGTTGCAGACAAGCGTGATTGATTGCACCACCACTCTTCATATATAAGACATATTCATACTACTATTGATCTCGCGTCACCATCCCTCAAGAATTTGACCAACTTTCTGGCTTCTGCATGCCCCCACAACAAAGGATGATCATCTTTCGCCAACCTAATGGCTAATGGCTGGCTGAAATGCGCATCATCTCCGAGCCAATAATACAATACAATTAATGGAAACCCTATTGACACCCCAACAAAAACCAAAAAAAAAAGCCCTTGTATTGTTGCAATGCACATGTATACATGTCCAACATTCTTCTAATTGACAGAGAAATGGAGCGTATACATATGTAACACAAATGTATTTTGAGACCCAAAAAGTATACATATACATATATATATATATATATATATATATATATATATATATATATATTACAGAAGAAAACCTAATATTTCATGCATGCTCCTTTTAATCTAAAATAATACCCGCGTAATGAGAAATTCAGGTTATCCCTTTCATGCTCCGTTCTATATATTTTTAAGATAAGAAGAAAAGCATTGATGGAATTATCACCTGTAAACACCCTCTTTTTGTTTAACCCTCCTCAAAACCCCTCAACGGCTATATCAAATGCATCTTTAATGCCTTCCAACCCTCGTTTGGTTTTGCATACACAATTCTTGGTAGATATTCGATTACTTTTTCTCTCATCATTTTTACCTTCTCTTTGCTTATGCTCTCAAGGACCGCTCTAATTGACGTGGTTCCATTCTGCACCTCTCTCCTGTGTATGAACACCGAGTAACTGTCCGGTTGACTGGGTAAAAACCAAGCGTACTGCATGTAAGCCGTTCTCCTCCAGAAGAAAACCGGGATTGAACCGGCCACCATGCAATCAAAAATGGACCGACGAGTGAAACTGTCACCTCTCGGCTGTAAACAAAAGTCCGAGTCCAGAAACGATTCGAGAATTGCTGAAGTCCCGTTAGAACACTTGGAGCCGGTGCAATCCACGACTCGGCAAGCGTCCGAGTTGTTGTAGCACTGACTCAGTAACACTCCTCTAAAGTCGTTCCTGTAAAACCCGCGCGTGCCTCCCGCGAAGCAGTATAGAGTCTTCCGCTGATGTCGGCGTACAAAATCCTGCCAGCCCGTGACGTCAGAGGCTGTGCTGGGGTGGAATCCGGTGGGATATGGCACACCGACATCGAAATAGTCCCACGGGTTGCGCTCTATCACCAAGCGCGTGATGTTTCTCATTCCGGGCATGTAAATACAGCTGGATCCCAGACGCGGCCTTCGATTCGGCGGAAATCCCATGTGATCCGGCCCATTGTAATAAAATGATCCCAGCCGTGGGATCTGTTCCAGTAAGGCTGATTATTCACCCAGTCCAGCATCATCTCGCAGTGCCGATCGCGGTCCTCGAATGTATGATTATACCATAGGTACTTTCCCACTGCTAGTCCCGCGTAAAAAGGAATGTAGAACGCAGTAGCAGATTCGGGCTCCAAACTTCTGCAACGATAATTCATCATTCGGTTGTGGTGAAGGATCTCCAAAGGGAATTGGTCAGTCCAGTGCCATGCATGCCTGAGATTTTCGGGGACAAGTTTTGAAATCCCATTTGCGACTTTTCCGAAGCCATGATTCGAAAACAAGTCGCAGCCTGAGTTCCAGGGGCTCAGCTCATGGCAATTTTGTAGCAATTCATGGTTAAAAAATGACGGGAGGTCATAAACGTAGACTTTACCATATGGGCAGAGGACGGTCAAGTTCAGGGCCGTTTGGTTAGAGCCATCAACATCAAGGGTGGCGGAGTGACCAGGTGTGACGGTAGTGGAAGGAGGGAAGAGGATTTTTGAGGGGTGGGAAGTGGTGAAGAAAGGGAGAGAGCGAGCGGAGAGGAGGAGGAATATGTGGAGGAGGAGAATGGCGAGGAGGAGGCATGTACCAGGATGGCGAAATGAGAGGTAAGGCTGAAATAAGTTGGAGTAGTTCTTTCGGTTTGATGATAATTCGGGTGGTGTTTTTGGGTTTTGAAGGGGGTTTAGAAGGAGGGGTTGTCATAGATATAGGAAGCATGAGAACAAGGAGGAGAAGCGTATTCCGATACCTACAAAGCAGGAAAAAAAAAAAACCTGGTAACGGCGAACTTTGGCCGGGAAATCTGGTGGCGGCGCGGTTGATAGGAAAAAAGAGAGGTGGGAGAATTAGATAGAGGAGAGAAGAGACGGGACTTCAGTTTGTAAAGCGAGTTTGTCCCGTTTAGTTTTTACTACCATTTTAGGACGAAGGCTCGAGGCTGGGGTTGAGCAGACAAGTGAGAACTGAGAACGGTGGAATGCGGAATCAACCCTCGTCTACTCGCTGCAGCGTAAAACACTAAATATAAGTCAAGCAAGACTAAGAGCAGTAGCGGTACACAATTTTCCGTTACATTTCCTAAAGCCGAAAGCTTGCAAGATAAAGCTTTGGCTATTTCTCAAATTAACAGTAGAAACCATTCACACCTACAACTTCTTTGCAATGTACTGTTGTTGTTTAAAGGAAAGTGAAGGGGAAGAAAAAAAAGACAGGTCGTTCAACAATAGAGAATACAGAACAGAGTTGGCATTTTCTGTCAAGTTTCGTATTCAGAATTCAATTATTCTCACTCTATGAGCTAGCGGGGAAAAGGAGAAAAAAGACAGAGAAAAACGAAAGCGACGTTAATATTGCCATGTGTTGCAAAATTGCCACGTTAATGCGTGAAGTGAAAGGAATGTGCATGGATGGAACAGCTGCTGTTTAATCATTAATGGGGTGTAGTCCCGGGACGATTAAGGACGAAGAATCAATCATATATCCTTCTGATTTTGAGGTCCCGGCACGATTAAGGACTGAGGACAGGTCACAGGACAGGAGGAGCAACAAGATGTGCCGGCCGGAAGTCTTGCGATGCGAAACTTTGGACCATGCATTGCATCCCTTCAGTTGTGGCATCAATGTCATGGGACATCTACACATGGGCCGTCCACAGAACTGGACATGGGCCATGTGAGCGGGCCCAAAGCCGATATTCACAGAAATTTTCAATCTCTGGAATTTCTCTTTTCTAATCACGACTTCACATATGGGAGTAACAAAATAGTAGTACTGCAGTAGTGTATGATTTCACAATTCCAAGTCATGAACAAAATTTATACAGCTTATTACTGCTATTGCTTTTAGTAGGGTAGGGGAATGATGGAATTTAATTGCATTTTAAACATTTTGTTTAAATTACTTTTCTATCCCCCGTTTAAGCAGCCTTTTGAAACTAATTTGGCAACAAAATAAGAGTTCTTTTGTTTAGTTTTGGCTGAGATAATAAAATGCTTCTAAATTACTAATGCGTTTCCCATGAATCGTGATCTTCTTCTTCTTCTTCAACTTAAGGATTCCCGTACATATAATCAGCACATCCCACCCACTCGTGGCTGCGGGTCTCTGTTTCTCCTTGTTAATTTTCTCTTCTGTCAATATTTGTTGTCTCCTTCACAGAACAAATTGGGCAGGAAAAGGGAAAAAAAAAAAAACTCAAAATAAGAGGAATCATCGTGTTGCTTAAACTCAATCAGCACAGGAATGCTGTGCAGCTCACAACATTCATCCTGTCCCCAGTGTTGATCTCCTAATATGTACTTGCTTCGGATGTCTAGGACTTCTAAAATTATGCCCTTTCCGCACCGGCTTTCGGAGACATGAAAGTTTCTATCAGTTTGGTATCCAATAAGCAATTAACTCAAAAGACCAGAGCAGGGCATAAGCTCGCTTTCCAGCACCAACCCCATAAATAGAAAAGGTAAAGATTGATCATGGATGGAGAATAGATTCTCGTTAAAGGTCTTGAACAAAGCAAGTTCTGATCGAACTAGTTAAAATCAGAAGGAATTTCCACTACAGGAATTATTACAACTCCAGATAAAGATCATATTACATTATTAAGAACATACAAAGATATACCGTGCTGCACCAAGTTTGGAATACTCGAGAATGTATGGTGCTATATCATTACTATTCACTGCTTCTTCACTAGCAGAGGCCCAACATTGTCTCCGGTAGCCTTATTGTGCTTCACATGGCTTCCATCGCATAGAGGGAAAGTCCCAGACCGCCAACACCTGCTCCAACAAGTCAACCAATCCGTCACCGCTCAAAAGAATGTTTACCGTGTCATCAAAAACCCTGGCTATGGCCTGAATTCGCACTTAACATAATTAAATGTTAGGCATTCACGATAAAATTGACTTCTATAAATATTTTAGGCTTAATACCTAGGGGTAGTGTCTGAATACAAAGGCCTGTTAAGTTCATATTTTACTTTGAGCAAAGAATTAATCTACAGGGCTTCCAGACAGATTAATTCCCAAAAAACGGAAAAAGAAAGCATGTTTCCCATCCATGATCCAACAAGGTAATCAGAAAAGTTGGAAGTGATTTAAGTACTCATGAGATAGTAAATGAAAAACCTGCAGTAAGCAGTGAGAGGCTTATTCAGTTCGGTGATAACAACGGAGTCCACCACTTTGTCTTCGGTCTTCCTGATACCTGGGTTTACGGCTTCAGCCCTCACCACCACCGTTCTCCTCGCTTCTCTGAAGCAGACAATGGAGGCCTGCCGTATGAGAATCCAGCAGGAGCTACCCTTGCACTAGCCATGGACGCCATAGCTACGCCAGAGTTTTCTTCTTTCTTTCTTTTTTTTTTTTTTTTTTGTGGTCCTTGTGGAGTTCTGAAACTTGAGGAAGAATCGCTAAGTAAAAGTAAAAGCTTTGATTGTGTTGAGACCCGAGGCTGTTGCGGCGGCTGTCCACGTAAAATGAGTTGTGAGCGAAAATTGAGATATGGGATGAACCTCTGGCTCTGGCGGCCACGCGCCCCTTCTCATCGTTGTCATTGTCGGTGGTTTGGCTTATGGGTTTGTTCGGATCGCAAGTTATTTCAAATATTTTTATTATAATTTTTTTATAATATGATAAATATAAGATAAAAAATAATAAAAAAATAAAAAATATATATATTAAAATTTATAATAATGATATAATTAAATATATTTGATTCCATTCCCTCGCAAAAAATCTTCCGCCATTCGATGGATAGGAGTAGAAGGCAAGCACGTCTTTTCTTAGCCCATACACGCCACTTTAGTTTCAAATTTCCTGAAAAAACAAAACAATAATAATAATTTCATGGTTGCAGGGACTTTTCTTGTCATCTTCACTGTTTAGTTGCAGGGACTTTTTCCCACCTTCGTGGTTGTTCATCGCGAAAAACAAAATCCTTGACAATATTTGACGTGTGCCATGAGTAATTGGATAGAGTACTTTTTGAAATAATTATTAATATAATATAATTGTGATACGATACATGAAAAATAAAAATTACAATTAAAAAAAATTAAAAGATGAGTAAGAAAACATATTTATAATATAAATAAAATAGCATTTGGAAAATTGTGAGTATCCAAACACTGGCAATTGTGACCGCAACTTGAACTTAAAATATTTTATTTTAACTTTGTGCTTTTTTTTTTTTTTTGTCAACAAAATGTTATGTAAAGCGTGAGTGCATTGGCTCAAATCTTCTTTTTGATTGAGAAGTTTCATACACCATTTTGTCATTTTCCTCTCGAGGGTTTGTGGGATGAATAGCGATGTAAATTAACCAAATTATTTGAATCTAACTCACAGATAGATAGCTTGATCAAATGATCAAATTTAAGTTGAGTTCAAGGTGCTCCGTAAGGTAATCGAGTCTAATTTAAATAAAAAAAAATCTTAAATTCTCATCAAGCATTATCGAGTAGTATATTTATAATATAAATTTAAATTATTTATTATGAGACTATGAAATTTACTAAAAGTTCGAGTTTGAAATTTTAATTGATCTCAGTTGGGTTGGGTTCGAGTAAGATAAAATAAGTTCAAATTCAAGATTGAACTTATTTTTTACGAACTCAACAAGGTTGAATTCAAACATTTTTACTCGAGTAATGCATTACTTGATCTCGGCTACATTGGATAGCAAACATGCGAATGAGGACGTTGTATCGTGTAAATGTTTTATAGATATATATTTTTTGGGTTTTGCTTCAAATATCGTATAAAAAAAATTCATCCATTCGACTATTTCTGAAATTTCTCTTGAACAGATCGAATCGTGTAGTATTTTTTCTCCAGGAAGAATGGGTCACGTGAATTGGACCTTCCCAGCGGGGCAAATGTCTCCTGACCTGTCCGACAAACCTCCGCGGCTAAAGGGGGCCGGAAATCCAGAAATATCAACTAGATCACAAACCTCCCCTAACGGCGGGAGTCTGTTACCTTCCCAAACCAGCAAACTCCGGCACCGGCTTCCTGGGCTCATTACCTCGCACAAATACTACGTACTACTGTACTGTCCCACGCGCTGTTTTCCGGTGGAACATTCTTCGATGTTGACGTGGCTTGTTGAAAGTGAATGGTGGACCTACGCAATGAAAAGAATTCATAATCAATTCACATTTTAGAGTATTTAATTAACTAAGCAACGACTCAATTCAGCATCCCGCCGCGCTGAAATATTATTAACCAACCTAAGTACCTAACCAATTGATTTGCCACCCCCAACTTTTCCACCCTCCCTGGCCTTTGCCTTCCATTTACGAAACCCTCGGACTCAACTTCTGGAACGTTCACTTGATTAGACTTTACAATTTTCTTTGGATATAATAATAATCTCATTGTTTTCCAAGAAAATTTTTCGTTCCTGTGCAATGGGAAGGGTTGTGGTGGATTGGCGTCGATTGGTTTCTTATGTAATTGCTTTTTGTGCAAGAATCTCGTTGTCGCGAGATCGGAGCAAGAAATCAGGCAAAGATTTTATGGCAGTTTAGTAAATTCGTCGGGCCGGACAGCGGCGATGGAAGCATTGCCAGATGTTTGATCGTGTTCTTGAGAGGAGTTCTCTTCTGACAACGACCAGCCTGAAGGTTTTCTTCTCCCCTCTCTCTTTTTGAATCTTAGAATATTGGGTTTGCTTTCCACTTGTTGAATTTAAGTGCACAAAACTGTGAATTTTGGCATTTCGTCGGAATTCTTTTTACTTGGTTTTTCGTTATACTTGTTGCCTTCTTTGCTTTTGTTTTAGCTTGAAACTAAGTTTCATGTGGCGATGGTGGCTGTACAAATTGAAAGTCAATTATTTTACAATGCTGCAAAGTGCTAACTTGCTGTTGACGTGTGGCGACTATGGCCAAGCGGTATCTAGAAACGCCTGTTATTCGTGCAATTACAAGAAATTGATGCTTCCAACGAGTAATCAAACTTTAAGAGATAATTTTGGAATAAATGAATGATATCACCATATTTGACTGGCATGTATTTCTGTGTGGATATTTTTCCAAGGGGACTGATCTAAATATGGTTTAGATTTTGGTTCAAGCTGCGTGTGGCCATTCCTCCAAACATTTGTATCAAGCTTAAGAGTACCTGTATTAAGCTTACAGATGATTCTTCTTGTCTTACATTCTAATGCTGCATTAGATTGTTTGTGGTTCAATTTCCATCACATAATTGAGATCTGATATTTATTGTTTTTTCTCTAGGTTCCAGTGCAAGCAGCTTCAACAGCAGCGTAGCAGATGAGCAAGTAGGTTTTGCCTTTCCTTACGAGCTTTTTGAGGACCTAAGGCATTTTCTGTGTATCTTATTGACGTCATATGCATTCATAACTCCTATTTCGCAATCTTGTGAAAGCTGCACAATGAAGGATGCTTATAGTTTTATACTTCAATTGTTTATACATCAATAGGATCACATCTGATGCTCCATATCTGAACCTTACTTGTAAAAGTTGGTATATTATTGAATAGCTGACATTTTGATTGACTTTGTTCAAGTGTTAAACTCTATGGTTATGTTTGCAGGCAAATGGTCTGTATATGTTCAGTGAACATGGCCTTTTGTTTCATAAGTAAAGTCAATAGTGATTAATTCACGTTTGAAAAGACTTATTTTACATTAAATTTTAATGGTTTGTGTGACTTATCATTCTAGATATTTTGGTATTTTTTTCCTCTTATGATTGGTACTTAGCATTCTTGCAGGCAGTATTGGAGACTGTGGTTAAAATTACTCATGAGAAAACAAAGAAGAATGATACTCAGGAAGCTAAGTAAGAAGATGCCTATCTACGCATTGTATGATATAAACTGCTTTCTGCCATTGTGGATACTCCATTGTTGTAGCCTGAAATTGACTTACCTTTGCTTTTCTTCTCGTACTTTTATTTTTATTTATTTATCTTTTTTTTTTGTGGCAGTGCTACCATATCTTCTAAAATTCAGGATATGCTCAACCTTGAAAATGATGGTTCTGATGACACTACCTTGATAGACAATGATGTAAGCTTACTGCTTACTAATTGATAATTACGCAGATGTTTTAGCAAGATACTACTTGTACATTGGGTAATTGGTTACCTGTTTCATTCATGGCAGCACAATCGTTATGTGATGTCAATAAGAAATCCAAATATCCAGTTCTTCAAGTAGATCTAAGGTCAGTTACTTCTATATCTGCATAATTGCCGTGATTCATTGACAACAGATGCAATTGATTGAATTTGCATGATAATTGTTATTAAATTTTCTGTTGTAGTTTTTGTAGTTTTAGTTATTTTCTATCTAATCCTAGAGACTGAACTATGTGTCTGTCTGCAGGCTGATATCTGATTTGGTGGTGGTTGTAGTCTCTGCTGCCATTGGTGGAATCATATTTTCCTGTCTGGGACAGCCGGTTTGTACTTCAAGATAACAAGTTCTCATTCCTTTAATGAATTGTCCTGGTTGTTTCTCTACATGTTTGGGTACTTTGTTAAGTAGATAAGATATTGACATGACAGTTGTCTAATGTTTACTTGTGATAGGTTATCGTGGGCTATCTTCTTGCAGGTTCACTTATTGGACCTGGCGGTCTTCAATTTATCAGTGAAATGGTGCAGGTATTTTTAGCTAAATATTCCATCTAGTATGCATTTTGATGAAGAAAGCTTTCTCTAGTCGAATTATTCCTGCTTTTGCTTTCAATATAGATTTTTATGGAAGGCATAATTGATATCTGGGGCAGCGGATTTTTCAATTGATTGTTGAAGCTGAGATAATTGGCTACTTTGGTTCATTTTTCTATAATTTTCTCAACTGGATGGTACTTCCAAGATAGGATTATGTAGTGATCTTGTAAGTGTTGGTGAGTGATGGACATGTATGTACCAGTGACATGCATTAGGCTTCTCAAAGGTCTTGGCAATTCATATCTATTGCTGAGTACTGAATTTTGAGAAAGTGGTAACAGACAAAAAGTTTTATAGTTGTTCAGTGAGGCCAGTAAGTTGCTAACTTATGCATTGAAGTGGCTAATGTATTGATAGTGAAAGGATTTTGACTTTGTTATTTTTCTTCTTTTCACGACTTTTATGCAATCTATAAGTTTTGCTTACTCCTTTTCCGCATAATATTCCTTCCCAATATCAAAGTTCTTATATGTTTCTTAATATGCCTTCTAATTGTCTGCTTTCAAAAGGTTGATTATCGACAGAGTAGTTAGTCTTATTGCTGTTCACTATGCATGCAATTAAATTGAACTAGTAAGAGTTATTTGTAGCTCAGGTCATCTTCTTTTGCATTACAGGTTGAGACTTTTGCTCAATTCGGTGTTGTTTTTCTGCTGTTTGCTTTGGGACTAGAGTTTTCTTTGACAAAGGTACTTCTGTTGACCAACTACCTAAAGCTATTTCTTGAGAAATTATCTTATGTTCATTTATTTCTATGTTTTTATATGTCTAAAGGAGCTTCCCTTAACT